TAATACAAGTACTTGTATCAGTATTAGATCTTTTAATACAAGTACTTGTATCAGTATTAGATATTTTAATACAAGTACTTGTATCAGTATTAGAGCTTTTAATACAAGTACTTGTATCAGTATTAGATCTTTTAATACAAATACTTTTAGGGTAAATAAAATTTTCTGACGCAACAAAATAAATGAATAAAAATAAAAAAAACTATCTTTTTGTACATTTTTGGTAAGAATTATTTTCTTCAACTAATTGAAAGTATACTATACCCATAACTTGAACAAATAAATACCAATGATTAATTAATAATATAAAAAAAGAAAAGATTTAAAAGAAAAAATAAGATAAGAAATCTGCTAAATTAAAAAAAAAAATCTAAAGTACAAACGGTTCCTTTTATTGATAAAATAGTAAAAAAAAGAAATCGTCTCTGTCAATCATTAGTATTTTTTTTCCTAAGATGATAAATATAAGTTAAATTTTACCTTTTTGTTTACTTTAGGCAAGAGTATGGAGATAAGTGTGGATATGAATCTCAGAGAACTTCTAGTACAATCCAGTTCATGGTCACTACTGATGCGGTAATATTCACTTCTAGTACAATCCAGTTCATGGTCACTACTGATGCGGTAATATTCACTTTTAAAGGGACTAATTGTCAATTTAAAAAAGGATTTTAATCATGGTTAGATAACCCCTGCATCTGCCTTGGATAAAAATTCTAATTGTTTCAATCTTTTTTTCTGAAATTCATGCACTCTCCATTTAGTTTCAAATTATTATTTCTTTTTTAAGGTCTTCATTGTATGCTAATAATTTGTCATTGTGAATTCTAATAAAAGCACGGCCTGAATTAACAGCAAATTAAGTTTATTTTAATTTTTAAAAGAAAGTAATTTTTAAATTCATAAAAAAATTTAAAATTTTCCTCTACATTTGCATTTAGGACAGCCTGGAAATTTTCATTTCAAAGGTATAAGGAAATTATTTTAATTGAAAGGTTTTTTTTTTACAAATTTAATATATAAATTTTGATTTTTAAGGTCAAATATTTTGTACATATAGGACGAATACTGGAGCTTCTTATCTCTAATATTGTTCAGAACGAATACTGGAGAGCATATATCCTTGTCTTATCTCTAATATGTCTAGGATACTGGAGAACATATATCCTTGTCTTATCTCTAATATTGTCCAGGATACTGGAGAACATATATCCTTGTCTGATCTCTAATATTGTCTAGGATACTGGAGAACATATATCCTCTCTTATCTCTAATATTGTCTAGGATACTTGAGAACATATATCCCATCTTATTTCTAATATTGTCCAGGATACTGGAGAACATATATATCCCTGTCTTATCTCTAATATTATGTCTAGGATACTGGAGAGCATATATCCCTGTCTTATCTCTAATATTATGTCTAGGATACTGGAGAACATATATCCCTGTCTTATCTCTAATATTGTCAAGAATACTGGAGAACATATATCCCATCTTATCTCTAATATTGTCCAGGATACTGGAGAACATATATCCCATCTTATCTCTAATATTGTCTAGGATACTGGAGAACATATATCCCATCTTATCTCTAATATTGTCTAGGATACTGGAGAACATATATCCCATCTTATCTCTAATATTGTCCAGGATACTGGAGAACATATATCCTTGTCTTATCTCTAATATTGTCCAGGATACTGGAGAACATATATCCTCTCCTATCTCTAATATTGTCCAGGATACTGGAGAACATATATCCTTGTCTTATCTTTAATATTGTCCAGGATACTGGAGAACATATATCCCTGTCTTATCTCTAATATTATGTCTAGGATACTGGAGAACATATATCCTTGTCTTATCTCTAATATTGTCCAGGATACTGGAGAACATATTTCCCATCTTATCTCTAATTATGTCCAGGATACTGGAGAACATATATCACATCTTATCTCTAATATTGTCCAGGATACTGGAGAACATATATCCCATCTTATCTCTAATATTGTCTTAGATACCAGAGAACATATATCCCTCTCTTATCTCTTATATTGTCTATGATACTGGAGAACATATATCCCATCTTATCTCTAATATTGTCCAGGATACTGGAGAACATATATCACATCTTATCTCTAATGTTGTCCAGGATACTAGAGAACATATATCCCTGTCTTATCTCTAATATTGTCTTAGATACCAAAGAACATATATCCTTCTCTTATCTCTTATATTGTCTAGGATACTGGAGAACATAAATCCCCATATTATCTTTAATATTGTTTAGGATACTGGAGAACCTTTATTGCCATTTTACCTCTAATATTGTATAGGACGGATACTGGAGAATGTATATCCTTGTCCTATTTCTAATATTGTCTAGAATACTAGAGAACATATATCCCATCTTACCTCTAATATTGTATAGGACGGATACCGGAGAATGTATATCCTTGTCCTATTTCTAATATTGTCTAGAATACTAGAGAACATACATCCCATCTTACCTCTAATATTGTATAGGACGGATACTGGAGAATGTATATCCCTGTCTTATCTCTAATATTGTCTAGAATACTAGAGAACATACATCCCATCTTACCTCTAATATTGTATAGGACGGATACTGGAGAATGTATATCCCTGTCCTATTTCTAATATTGTCTAGAATACTGGAGAACATATATCCCATCTTATCTCTAATATTTTTCAGGACGGATACTGGAGAATATATATCCCTGTCTTATTTCCAATATTGTCTAGAATACTAGAGAACATATATCCCATCTTATCTCTAATATTGTTTAGGACGGATACTGGAGAACGTATATCCCTGCCTGGTCCATGAAGTTCTATGCGGAGGAGTCCACCTACTATCTCTGTGTCCAGGATCCAACTTCGGGGGAATTCGTTCATCAAGGGGAAAATAAATTTTTGCAGGTTTGATTTTATTCCCACTTTTTGGCACCTCGACATTTTCCATATCTCCATTTTCTCTAGGGTCATTTGTGCTATGCATCACTGACCATTTTACTGAACATCCCCTTTAATTCTTTTTTCATCTTTTCTTTATATATCTTTACCTTTTCCCTTCTCATTTCATACATTTCAATTTCCCTAGTTTTCCTCCCTCCCTTCTATTTTCTTCTGGATTAACTTGAAATATTTGTAGATTGAAGTTTACTCTCGGCTGCTCCCAATTTGGTTAAGTATTGTATTACTTGTTATTCTCCTGTTTCTATCTGGTTTGTTCTCTGGTCTTAACCTTGGTCTCATGTCCTTGGATCAAACAGAATTAAGGTGAGTCTTTTTAACAGTAACAATATTCTTGTGACAAATTTTTGTCAATGCCCGATTTCAATAGATTGAAAATAATTGTTACAAAAGAATTGAGTCTTTGCTCTACAAACTATAATTTTCTAATCCTGTCTTAGGAACCAAATGTTATATGACATTTTATGTACATAAATGTTTCAAACTATTAACTATGTTAAAACAATTAATTTAAGTTTGAAAAATCAATGTTTTTCACCGAAATGTCGTTAGATAGGATTGAAGGTTGAGTTTAACTTCTGGAGCTACAGCAGAAGAGAGTATGGAGGAAAGGGCAAGTTGTAGAGCAGCGCCAGAAGGAAGGGGTTTGGAGTCGGACAGGGTGACCCAGGTAGAATTGCTGGAAAAACCGGGAACCCCCAGGGCCTTCTTATTGGGCCATCCGAGCAGGGGGGTCCAAGAGAGAAATCAAAACTGCATAATATAAGTCCAGGGAACCTTGGGTCCTTGTAGAAAGGGTAGAGAGACAATAATCTTATCAAACGTGTCTGTACAGGGAGAAAGAAAAGCTCGCAGAATAAACGACAAGATTTCTGTGGCGGGGTAATCATCCTCAAGGGTAACAGCATTATCATGACTGAACTCGTGAGTTAGAGCTGAGGAAGCTAGGTAATCCGAGACCAGATTCCCGTCTTGGAAGTTGAATATGCGGAGCGAAGGTATGCTAAGGGTCAGTTTTGGAGCTACAATGGGTTGCCAGAACAGGTTGCAGGTCATTACTTTCTCAGAGAACAAGCTACCAACTAGAGCGCAGGCACCGGACAGAACATGTTGGTTATCTGGGCTTAAAAGACTGTAAATAGTCAAATGAAAGTATAAATAAACTGTTAAAAGAAAAATACTATCTTTAGAAAATTCTGTTGAAAAGAATAGGATCAGAGATCCAAGAAGCTGTTAGATAGGATCTGAGATCCAAGTAGCTGGGAGATAGGATCTCAGATCCAAGTAGCTGGGAGATAGGATCTGAGATCCGAGTAGCTGGGAGATAGGATCTGAGATCCGAGTAGCTGGGAGATAGGATCTGAGATCCGAGTAGCTGGGAGAGTAACGAACGATTGTAGAGAGAGAGAGAGCGCCTTAGGGAAAGAGAGAAATTTTAACAGGTGGGAAAGGAACGCGGCAAGTGCCACATCAAGTGTACAGTACTGCCAGGGACCATCTTCTTAACAACATTTAACTACCCATCTTCAACGGGGGTACCTAAATACATAACACTGTCAGGTTTAAAAGATTAGAAAATTTTAGTTTGAAGCAAAGACTCGTTATTCCTTTCAAGAATGAATAGCCGCCCAATTTTTCAAAATTTGAAACTTGCTAAATCTTAAACTTCAATTATGCTCTTGAGGAGCAAAAATATACTTATAGTTAGTTAATAGCATTAATCAATGAATCTTGAATTATTGAGTTTTATTAGTTTATTGTCTGTGAGTAGATCTCAGCCAAATACATGAACAAAACCTGTAAGCAATTTTATATTTGATTAGAATTGTGCAGAGTACTGGATCTGATAAAGAGAAAGCCTATGCTAAGGTGAATAAACCTCCCTTAATTTTCATAATAATCCCTTTTTTAAAATTCGATTTTTTTGGAGACTGGGCGATCAAAAACGCTCTTAAGACTTTTTCTATTCAATAAATAAACGACATAGACCCCCTTTGAATTATAGATTTTATTAAAGATGTAATTTGCTTTTTGAACTAAATAGTTAATTTCAATTTCGTTTCAAACCATCGTCAGCAAACCAATTAAATGTAGAATTAATTTCAACAAATAATAGAATCTATCTATCAATCTACTATAACGTTTGTCTATCTCTCTTTCTACTATAATGTTTCTATTTTTTTCTATCTTTTTTAAAATTTATTTCTGATTTTTGTTGCATATCATAACTTTATTGTTAAAGAATGAAAATTATAAAAATTATGAGAAAAGAATAAAGAATATTTAGATACTAACTTGGGAACCCAGCGTGTTGCCCAGGTTTCTCATAGTTACTCCCGCCGTTTACCCGAACATGGTCTTAAATAACGATTTTAGCTAATTTTCGATAAAAGTTGACCCACTCAATTTTGAATCTCAAAACAAAGCTAAGAACATTCCCGTGGTTCTCCGAAGTTTCCCAATAAAAAATTGAGGCAAGTCGGTCAAAGGGTTCCTGAGTTATGATCGGACTAACAAAAAACAGACAGACAGACAGACAAACAGATATTTCAACTTTGTATATGTAGATAATAAATGTGTGCATAGGCAATCATGCCAATCCGAGGTATGGGAAACTTCCTGCTTTGTTCAATCCTTCTTGGCAACGTTCTTGTCAACAACACCCTGACAGTCCTCCTCGATACTCTCACCGGCGGTGGCGGGGTCGTCGCCGTTATCGGTGCAACCCTAGGTATCGTCATATTCGGTGAAATCATTCCGCAGGCGGTCTGCTCGCGGCATGGACTCGCTGTTGGGGCGAATACGATTTGGTTGACGAAGTTCTTTATGTTGGTGACCTCGCCCCTGTCCTTCCCCATCTCGATGATCCTGGACAAGATCCTGGGGGCGGAGATTGGGACGGTCTACAACAGAGAGAGATTAATGGAGCTCATCAAGGTATGAATAACAAAAAATATTTTTCTAACCCTTTTTGATTTTTCTCAAAAGTGAACAAAGTTCTTTTAAACATGTAAGATTTAACAGTTTTATTTTATTTCAAAAATGATAAATGGTAAAATGAATGACGAACTAGGTAACGGACGCGTACACTGACTTGGAGAAGGACGAGGTGAACATCGTCACCGGAGCACTCGTCCTGAAGCGGAAGACGGTGAAGGATGTAATGACGAGATTGGACGACTGTTATATGCTGCCTCTAGACACCATACTTAACTTTGAGACGGTAAAATACATAATTTGTTTTTAATATTTCAAAATAATTTAAACATTTTAAATCTTATCAAATGAACCTTAAGTTGTCACAACCTATTATTTAAACGATAAAATTTGGAGAAAAACGTATCCAAAGGAATGACCTACTCAGAAGTAACTTTATCTTGAGGGTTTGCATACCACGGGTTTCAATCGACGTAGTCTTGAGGTCGTCAGAGGTCACTTGAGGTCCAACGACCCTATCCGACCTCATTTTTAGAATTAAAATGTTGAATCTAGGTTTCCGAGATCAAGGAGCAGGGGTACAGTAGGATCCCCGTCTACGAGGGGGACAGGACCAACGTCATCCACATACTCTTTGCCAAGGACTTGTTGTTTATCGACCCCGAAGATAATAAACCTCTAGAGGAAATCTGTAAATTCTACAAGAACGATGTTAATTTTGTTTATCAGGTAAAATCAACATCCAACGTTTTTGTTCTCGTCAACATTATACAATATTTTAGATTTGGACATTCATTTAATCTTTTATACATTCATTTATATTAACCCTTATTCATTTAAACATTCATTTCTTCTTTCACAATTATTTATTTTTTTTACAAAATTTTTTTTTTTATTTTCAAATTCATTTGATTACACATTTCGTTTAAGGTTTAATTATAGAATTGCACATCTAGAATTTTTAATACACTTATCCATTTTTTTCATTTTATTTTTTTAAATTTTAATATACTTATGAATTCAGGACACTATACTGACGGACATGTTTGACGAGTTTAAGTCCGGGGACAAGGGGCACATGGCCCTCGTCCAGGAGGCAAATACCGAGGGGGACGGGGACCCATACTACGAGACTATTGGCCTCCTCACCCTCGAGGACATCATCGAGGAGATTATCCAGCAGGAGATCAACGACGAGACCGACGTTGTCCTGGACAATAAGACGAAAAAGAAGAGGAAGAAGGAAAGGAAGACGACCAAGGACGCGGATTTCAGAATGTTCCTGGAGTGTAAGAATCGTCGGGTGACGATCACACCTCATCTATCCCTGGCGATCCTTCAGTTCCTTACTACTTCAGTTAAGGTGATCAATAATTGACTTATGATTTGATCAATAAATAACTGAATTTAATCACTACTGAATGTGATAATTGAATATTGACTAATTCATTAAATTTTGAACTATGTAAAATTAATTGAAGAAAGAAGCAAATGAAATTTTGTAAATTGTGATTTTGGTATTTTCAATCGGGTTTATGCTAATCTTATTAGAAAATAGGAATACATTTTGTTGATAAAATATCTATAAACTTCTTTTATCAATGTTAAAGTATTTTCTTAGAATCTATTTATCGGTTTTTGTTACTGAATAGAAAAAAATTACTGTTAGATTTTAGCAAATAGATGTTAAAAAATCTAGGAAAATTGCTAATTTTCCATTGGGAGTGATATTTTTGTTGCATGCGTAAGAGAGAAAAAAATGCCCCCCCCCTACCAGATGCAGGACTGAGGTTAGAAGAAATTTCTTCACCAACAGAGTAGCGGAGAAATGGAACAAATTACCAGAATATATCAAAAGAGCAGGAAATATAAAAACTTTCAAGTCCTTATATGATAAAATACCGGAACAGCAGGAATGAGAAACCTATGAGTAAAATGCTGGATACATAGAGACGTCATCTCTATGCTCCTATCTGGAACTCTGATGACAAATCTACAAAATCTACAAAAAAAAAATTTAAAAAGATTTTTATAACATATGAACTTAGGACAGGTTTAGACATATTTATATTTCTACATATTAAGATTTTAAAATGTTTGATTTCTCCAGATTTGTGTTCAACGCTTTCCGCATTTTCACTTTATAAGGAATACGAACATACATCCTTACGTTCTCCTGTTCTAGGCGTTCAGTGGTGAGGTGATCAGTGCCAGGATCCTGCAGAAGCTCTTGAGTATGGACGTGTACAGGCAGATCAAGCTCAAGAAGAAGAACGAGGATAAGAAGGAGAAGATGGTTGAGAAGGTGGAGAAGGAAGAGGGGATAATTATGACGAAAGGGAAACCTTGCGACTTTTTTGTTTTAATTCTCGAGGTAAGGACATTTCAAATCATTAATACAAAAAAATTTTTAAGCACTTATAAAAAAAACTTGACAAAATGTTATTAAAGATTGGTTAGATTAGCTTAAAAAACAAAACCCATTTTTTGTTTGAATGAATTAATTAATGAAGGATGAGAATTTAAATCAAGACCGTTCCGAAAAAACCAATGTTCGGAGAGAGGGGGGGGAGGGGTGCAGGAGGGGGATATTGATAAAGAATATATATTAAAGTTGCAAACTAGAACAATTTCGGCAGATTTTTCAGCATTTAATTGATATTTTTGTGAGAAAAAAACAAGATAACTGCACGACAGGGAACACACTTGATTTTAGTTTATTGTAAATATGGCAAAAAAAGCAACTTTAAGCTGTAATGCTTTAAGAGGGGGGGGGGGCAACAAATAATTGATTTAATGTTGTTAAACACACAAAGTTAAAATAATCTTGCGGTACAAACAGTCTAGTACAATAATAAAATAAATCAGTAGTTTGCATGGCCGTGTATGATAGAAATTGACATTTGAAATTAATTTCACTTTTATTAATTTCAGGGCCGCGTTCAAGTCACCATTGGTAAAGAAGATCATAAGTTTATAGAAGGTCCCTTCACAACATTCTGTGAACAAATGCTGGAACAGGTATTGCAGGAGGGGAGGGAGGGGTTCATTGAGCCACATCTAAACCTTATTGAGCCCCCCAAACGATAAACGTTTGAAGTCTTCAACACTTGTTATTTGACTTTCCTTTGGGAGATGGACATTGAGTTAATTTAAATAAAAAATTAGACAGAAAAATCAGATGAAGCTTTCTTTCCACTTTTTAGAGGTTTTTCTTCAGTAGATTTGCAGGCTGACAATGCACTGAGCCCCATATGAACGTCAACGAACCCTTAAATTGTTTTTTAAAAGATTCAACCAAAAATACATTAACTTATCTAACCTATTTATGACCGTTGAACCCTTTAAGAAGATGATTTAACAATTTAATAGATTTTTAATCTTTGAGTCATCTTCAAAGTTCTAGAAACGTTTTTTATTACTTGTTATTTACTTATAAGGCACATTTCTAAATTTGTTCTGCAAACCTTCTAAACTTTTATATTAATAATTAAAGCTTAATCCTTCTTTTGTCATGCAATACATTTTTTTTCCTTACACAGCATTTATTTTTTACATCTGTTATTCATTACATACACAGTGATTAGAGATGATGTTATTTAAGATAAAAAATTTATTTTATCCAAGAAAATTTGAAAATTAAAATGTGCGAAAAAAAGCTTGTTTAAGAGCTGCTGGCAAAAAACATGTTTTTAAAGGAACCTTACTTCTAATGTAGTTTTATATTAATCCTCCATTGTAGGCCATGCAAATGCCCTCGTCTCCAATGGTTCCTGATCCTGTGCGGGGAACAAGTCAAAGTCCTTCAATGCCCTCTGCTGTTAATGAAATAGCCTCCGGGAAAACACTGAAGAAGACAAGTACTCAGGTTCTAATATTGTATAGGAAAGCCACCTATATGGTTGCACTGAAGGGTAATATTGTATAGAAAAGCTACCTATATGGTTGCTCTGAAGGCTAATATTGTATAGGAAAGCCACCTATATGGTTGCACTGAAGTCTAATATTGAATAGGAAAGCTACCTATATGGTTGCTCTGAAGGTTAATATTGTATAGGAAAGCCACCTATATGGTTGCACTGAAGGGTAATATTGTATAGAAAAGCTACCTATATGGTTGTTCTGAAGGCTAATATTGTATAGAAAAGCTACCTATATGGTTGCTCTGAAGGCTAATATTGAATAGGAAAGCTACCTATATGGTTGCTCTGAAGGCTAATATTGTATAGGAAAGCCACCTATATGGTTGCACTGAAGGCTAATATTGAATAGGAAAGCTACCTATATGGTTGCTCTGAAGGATAATATTGTATAGGAAAGCTACCTATATGGTTGCTCTGAAGGCTAATATTGTATAGGAAAGCCACCTATATGGTTGCTCTGAAGGATAATATTGTATAGGAAAGCCACCTATATGGTTGCACTGAAGGGTAATATTGTATAGAAAAGCTACCTATATGGTTGCTCTGAAGGCTAATATTGAATAGGAAAGCTATCAGTATGGTTGCTCTGAAGGATAATATTGTATAGGAAAGCTACCTATATGGTTGCTCTGCAGGTTAATATTGTATGGGAAAGCCACCTATATGGTTGCTCTGAAGGTTAATATTGTATAGGAAAGCTACCTATATGGTTGCTCTGAAGGATAATATTGTATAGGAAAGCTACCTATATGGTTGCTCTGAATGTTAATATTCTATAGGAAAGCCACCTATATAGTTGCTCTGAAGGGTAATATTGTATAGGAAAGCTACCTATATGGTTGCTCTAAAGGATAATATTGTATAGGAAAGCTACCTATATGGTTGCTCTGAAGGTTAATATTGTATAGGAAAGCTACCTATATGATTGCTCTGAAGGTTAATATTGTTTAGGAAAGCTATCTATATCGTTGCTCTGAAGGTTAATATTGTATAGGAAAGCCACCTATATGATTACTCTGAAGGCTAATATTGTATAGGAAAGCTATCTATATCGTTGCTCTGAAGGTTAATATTGAATAGGAAAGCTACCTATATGATTGCTCTGAAGGCTAACATTGTGTAGGAAAGCTACCTACATGGTTGCTCTGAAGGCTAATATTGTATAGGAAAGCTACCTACATGGTTGCCCTGAAGGCTAGCCGGATGAACAACATGAACAGTGAGCAGGACGGGTACAATGAGCGGGAGCTGGACTATGCCCTGGAAAGAATGACTGAGGATGACCACGATGTTTATGATCAGGAAACATCAATAATCAACATTTTTACATATTTTTTAAATTTTTCTTTGTAGCAAATTTTGTTCTAAAGGGAAGCGATAAAAATTGCTTGCTTTTGTTTCAGTGTAATCAATTCTAGTAGAAAAATCAAAATCCTCCTTAATCCGGAAAATTCCAGACTGCTGGCACTGTACACTGTACACACTGTACAATTGAATGAAATAAGTTACATAATATTATTGAGAGTTATAATTAGGAGTTCACTCGTAATGTTCGTTCACCTGAGAAAGGAGATTATGGGAGTAATCCAGGTTTGCGAGAGATAAAACCATTAATTACTATCTAATTATCTACCAGCAAAAGTGTTAAATGTTTTAATATAATTGTTTTATCTTTTCCCCGATTTTTAAGCTTTGTGCCAAAAACATGCGACATAAACTAGCTGGTATTTTTTTAACGTATTTGTTAAAATTAGAACATAAAATTCATGTAATCTTTAGAACATAAAATCCGTGAAATCTTCAGAACATAAAATCCGTGTAATCTTTAAAACATAAAATTCGTGTAATCTTTAGAACATAAAATCCGTGTAATCTTTAGAACATAAAATCCGTGTAATCTTTATCTTAAAATACGTGTAATCTTTAGAACATAAAATACGTGTAATCTTTAAAACATAAAATCCGTGTAATCTTTAGAACATGAAATACGTGAAGTCTATAGGACATAAAATACGTGTAATCTTTAAAACATAAAATCCGTGTAATCTTTAAAAATATGTCCCGGGCTTTTAAGATCCGTTTACTAGTTGAAAATTCATTTTATTAAAAATAAAGAATTTTTGGAATTTTCACGTCAATATAAAAGACCCTTTTATAGTTTCAGTTTTAGTCTGTTAATTTCTGATTTATTTTCCTCCCTGTTTAATACTTGTTTTATGTTAAGGTACACCTGTTATACGTCGTGAATCGTTACGAAGTAGTCTGAGTATGATGAAAAACCGGTTTCTCGGAGGTCAGCTCGGAGGTCGGAGTACAACCAGCATAGATAAATCATCCTCTAAGGTATAATCAACTACATGGGTTGGTGGGGGGGTTGTCAAATGTAAGAAAATTAATTTAAAATGCAATAAATGAATATCATTAAATTTTAATACATCTTTTCCTTTTTTGGTGATCTTAAATAACAGACGTTTTAAGTTCGATGAAACAACTAAAGAAAGAATTTATTTTCGTATTTTTATTTTTTGAATGTCTAAATATACTGGTTTACAACTTATCACTACATAATTTTAGTTTAATTAAACAGATTTGAATACCATCAAATAATCAAATAGTTAGTTTCTGCATCTGTGAAGCTTTATGTAATTTGCATTTTTTGACAAAAAATACGGGACTTTATTAAACTTTTTTTTTAAACTGTGATATAATAATTATTGTTTCAATATATGCAATATTTTAATAAAATCCCTTAAATTACGAGAACCAGAATCAGAAATGTATATTCGGAAAATAAAAGAGTTTAAATGTCATAAGATTAAACTATATTTTGACCTCTAGGATGAGTTCTGGGACGGAATGACTAACCCCGCGATGGACCACACCGGTACAGAAGATCCCCGGGAGGATTTCGTGTTCCTCAACAACTCTAATGGATTGGCACACGTCGGAGCCGCGTATCTTAACCAACAATCCAACAGCGGCCCGGTGACCACTACAGAGCTAGAGACGGAGACATCCGGACCCAACTCCCTTCCTCTCACCCTCACGAAGGATGCCCCCCTGGAGAAACAGAGTTCGGAACCTAATTTTAAAGCAGGTGGCGCCACTCGCGGTGGCGCGGATATCCGCCCAACTGTCATCAATGTACGTGGCAGCGGTAGCGGGGATGCGGAGAGCTCCGGTGCCGAGCAAAGTCTTGAAACTACAACAACCTATCCAAGTGATAGAACTAGTTTACTCAGAGATAAAACTGTTAGCTAGTAGAGAGCTAGGATTCATATTTTGGGTGGTAAAGGGAGGCTTATGCCGAAAACTTTGCTATTAAAATCTAAACTCTCGTAATTTTTTTAACTGGTGACTTTAACGTCTTATATTCTCATGATTGATATTTGGTAGAGGATAAATCTAATCGTATTTACTCGCATCAACAATTTAAACATTTTTTTTAAACATTGTTTGATGGGCTGTTGCAATCCTTCAATTTTAGCTTTATTTTCTCTATTTCATTGTATCCAGACTAAAGTTATATACTCTCATATTGTTATTCAACCCCTTTCAAGATATAGTGGATGTTTCCGCGAATTTCAGGCAGATAAAATAATGCTCATTTAGCAAATTCCATTCTTATGCCGATATAATTCTAATTTTTGTCAACCATAAATCAAAAATAAAAATTTTCACAAAATTTATTTAAAAAACCTCCCCTAATCTTTCAAAAATAAATCGCTATTGTCTTTATTAATGTATTACAACCGCATCCCCTAAATCCCCCCCCCCTCCATCTTATTTAGATATATTTAATTTTTAAGTGTATAATAGGTTTGTAGATAAAAAAACGCGTTTTTTCATTTCGTTATAGAAATCAGTCCGTCCATAGAATGCTGTTTAAATGTTTGTGCATTTTGTGTTAAGAAAATTCGAGTTTATGTCATTTTTCTTTCATTTTTCAGAGCTTTTTTTTATTAAGAATACCAGCAACAATTCTTCTCGTGTTAGCACGACACTTTTTATCATTGGTTTTGGCAGTTTCTTGATTCCCTTAATTTGTTGAATTTACAATTGACAATAATGAAATTTAAAAATAGGAAGATGACTTAATCAAAACTATTATTGAACTCTTATTCTGGTATAGTTATTTTAAAATTTCCTAAAAAAGACGAAATTCCTAATTCTAAGATCTGGTTTTAGCAATAAGTGAGCTCTACTTAAACCTCCAGGTTGATCCAGAGTCCATACATAATCACAGATCACGACAAAATAAAACATTTAAATACTTTCTGCACTATGGCATTTTTTTGATCCCAAAATTGAAGAATATTTTCATAGTTTTTCACTCTGTTAACTAATTTGTTAAAATTGGTATTTATTGGTGATTTTTTCAGAACTTATAAGTTTTTATTTTTTAAACTTGTTTTATTGATTTTACCGTCGCATTTTTGTTAGAGATAAATTGTAAACATTTGGCTCAATTCCTTGGCATGTGTTCCTCGAGTTTATTAAATAACAAATTGAACATGTTAAACTTCTTTTTGATTGTATCATTAAATGCTTAAAGTGTATTATTTTCATAAAAAACATTATTTTTCATTAAACTTATAAATCCGAAAAAATGTGTTTAGTATACACAGAAAATGTCCTGAATTAATTTCTAACACAGGGTGTCCTACGAAACATTACATTTGGCTAATAGTTTTAATGCCTTATTCCATAATGTTTGTTTTTTCAAAAAAAAAATATCACATGGCAGTCATATTATAGTAAAATTGATTTCGAAGTAAATATATTTGAGTTAAAGATTTTTTAAAACGAAATTCAAACAGTCTTTAACATTTGATGTGGTAAATGGAAGATGGCAATTCTATTGATGTGGTAAATGGAAGATGGCAATTCTAAACTCTCACCAACTGTCATGTGTCCTGACACTAGGGTGACACACGAAGAAGTGAAAGTAATAAAATGAAAAGGTGCATAGGTCCTAAAAGATTCTATGGGTGATGTCAACGCTAAGTATTGAAATGCAAACATTGTTTTTTCTAACTTGATTAACTTGGCTGGAAGTAGTTCCTGGAAAACATCTCGATTATGTTATGTTAAGGATATGGGGGCATTCGACACTTCGTGACATCAAATTTTGTAAAGGCTGCATTTGTTTTTTAAAATTAAGATTAAGGGCCGAAATTTTTCATGTCATCTAACCGGATCGTATAGAAAATTTGGGATCGGAGGTCATTGACCAACGTTATAAATCAAGGTTTTGCCGAAAAAAACGAAAACGACTGGTACCTAATGCAATGCTCCGATCAACCTAAAATTTTCACATCACCTATGCACCCAAAAAACTTAATTTTAACCCCCTTCATGTGTCACTGGGACACCCTGTACTTAAAAAAAGAAAAATTGTTTCGTTATTTTTCAAATTAAATTAAAGTCAAAAATAAATTACGCATTTCTTGTAAACGTGGTGAAATTATGTCAAGTTTAATGTAATTGATTTAAAATATATTTTTTAAATCTTGAACGGGTCCCTTATGCTCTACAGTCTACATTTATAAAAATTCGTAATATATTCTTTTTAGATCCCCAAATTATATATACTACATATATATATATCTCTACTCGTAATTATATAATTTATTGTAGAAATAAAGATATATTTGACTTCGTAACTTAATTTTTAAAATCAAAGTATAAAATGAACTACATAGACGTAATTTCAAAGCACACTTTGGTTTTAAATTGTTTTCCTTTTTGGTTTACATAAACTTAACCCAATCATGATTAAATTATCTCTTTTCCCTTCAGCAATATCGAAATTGTTACCTGTGGGGAGGTTGAAAATTACGAATTACGTCCTCAGTGATAACCAGAAAACTCTGAAATAGGAAGACGACTTTTAAATTTAAGGTTGTAGGAATAAAACTAGTTCATTGAAAACATCAATTGTACAGCGTTAATAGACCCTTCTCCCTTAAATTTTGCTCTGCTAAGTTACTAGTTACTAGGAAAATATTTGCTCTGTAACAACACCGAAACGCTGAAGTATTGCTATAATGTCGTCTTTCTATTCCATTTTTTCTGGTTATCACTGTATACTAAATAGTCCTAAGCTGATGGGTCGGTTTCAATTCTTCAGATGATTATATACGAGTCTAAAGTTTAAAGGGACTGTTGTAAGTTAAGTGAACCTCCATTAAAAAAGTGTCCTTTAAACCTTTATCTGTAAACTGTTAAGTTTCCACATTTTCCTACATTGTCTTTGGCAGCATAAATTCGCAAGTCACTTCTCCGAAGAATACAAAATTTTATATTTACACCATGAGAATGAGATTGAAAGAATACGGACTTCAGTTTTAAGGTGTCGACGAAGATGGAGCAAATTCCTTTCTACCAATAACGAAGGCAGGGACGGATAAATAGTTAAAATATCGCTTAAGAAAAAGATTTTTGACTTGTTTTGGAATCTTTTGTAAAAGCCGAAGTCGTATTCTACAGCCTGGTTCTTCTTGTATATGGAATATATGAAGGCCCTTCAAAGTTATATAAAATTAATACTTGAAATAAAAATAATCGTAAATCGTGAAAATTTTGTTTTTTTAACAATGTTTGTCCCTTTGAAGAATGCAACATCAATTGGACTTATTATATTTTTTATAGCTAGCATTTACTAGCCGTAGCGCTTGACCCCTCAGCCTGTCCTTATAGCTGCAGCGCTTGGCCCCTTAGCCTGTCCTAGCCGCAGCGCTTGGCCCCTCAGCCTGTCCTAGATGCAGGGCGCGGCCCCTCAGCAAGTCCTAGCCGCAGCGCTTGGCCCCTCAGCCTGTCCTAGCTGCAGCGCGCGGCCCTGAAATTGTCGTAACCCTTTTGAACGTTAGTCCAAATCAACATTAGTCCAATCGATCATTAATTCAAAAACACACGTACACACAATTGTAAAGATTAAAAAATATTAAATTGTAAAAAAGCAGACACAGGGCAAATCAGAGATATTTTGATAAAATATTTTTGCTTGTAGAATTAGGTTGATGGAATATGGGAATTATTTCCAAGCTACAATTATCTTTAAAGAAAGTATAGTCGTTGTTGTATTTTATATATTGCATTTTTCGCTGGTATTGAAAACTCCGCCAAATTCACTATCCATACGTATTACGTACAGGGTGTCCCAAAAAACATGGGAATTCAGTAACGAATTCGATATCGTCTTTGTTATGAATTAGCATTGTAATACCTAAGTTCAAAAGCCAAGAATATTATTATGTCTGCTAGAGTTACTTTATGAAAAGGGTAAAAGACAGCAAATGTCTCCACATGATGAACAGTGAAGACGGACAAGTTTACTCTGTTTGTATACTGCAATTTTCTTGTTTTACAAAGTACATTCGTATGCAGTCAAAACATAAACAAACAAATTGTGAACATAGCCGACGAAACTCTTACAGATTACAGCTTTCTCAGTAGGTATCACTATACTAAATCAAAGAATTATTTGAAAAGACGATATCGAATTCGTCACTGAATTCCCGTGTTTATTGGGACACCCTGTATATACAGTCATAATCTGATTAACTGTCGATTAATTCTGGGTCTTTCTGGTTATGACTGTATATATAATCGGGAATCTGAATATGAATGAGCATTTAACAGACATATTTGAATATTCTGTCTTTTTATTGGCAATTAGTTTTGTTTTGTATAAATAAGAAATTTAGTAATATTTGTCATTTAAAATTAGTCGTGATCAAAAATCTGATTAAAGATCGTGAAATTTTCTAGAAAAACAAGACGACTTTTACATATAAGGAACAAAAATTTATAAACACTAAGCCTTAGAGGGCGCTTCGCGCCCATCTTCTAAATTAATTGTGAACATGTTCTCTTTGTGTACATCGTAAAACAAAACAAAAATAATTCGCGGATTTTCAAAAAAAATTTCATGGATTTTCAAAATTTTCAAAAATTTAATGAAGATCATATTTTGATGGAGTCAAATATTTGAAATTTTGATCATTCATAAGCCTTCCCTGGGTCCCTAGATGTCCCACAAAAAAATTGGGCCCGATCGGTTCAGCCGCTTTGATGTTTATTGGATACAAACAGACAGACAAACAAACAAACAAACAGACAGACAAGCCAAATTTATGTACAGATGTGAATGTAAAATTATCTTACCCGTGTCTTTAACATTGATTGAATCTCTGTGGTGTTTGTAAAATTGTAGAAAACTTTTGTAGTTAAATAAAGTGTCCGATTTTAAATTTTTATCTAAAAGAACCAAATTAAATTATTTGTTGAGATGTTAGATTTATTCTAAATCCAAAGAAACTGTAGCGTAATTCAAAGCGATCCTCAATTTAAAGAGAGTGTTCGCAAAAAATGAAAGGGGGTGTAAGGCTGATATTAAATTGAATTCGATATCGATTGCTACTAATTTTACTTTTATTTGTTGAGTATATATATGGAAAAATGGTTCAAACTTAAAAACGTCTTTTGAGTCCAAGAGCGTGTGTGACCCTTACACGGATTTACATTTTTCTACTCGGATAATGAATAATTCAATTTTAAATTAATTATTATAATGTCGGATTCATTTCAATGCATTCATAAAAAGTTGAAATTTCATAATTTAACTTTTTTATTATATTTGCCGCTCGGTGTACACCCTATAATCCATAATCTAATTAACATTTTTCTATCTTTTCTAATAAGACATTTTGTATTAAGGATCGGTTTTGGCATATACATAAACATTAACGGATTTCACCAATAACGAAAAATTGTCCATCTTGTCTATTAAGGCGCAAAAAGGTCGTCTTCTAATTCTGCTGAGTAATTAAACAATGTTTCCGGCAACACTGGATACTGTGGTGAATTAGGAATAAAATGCATGTATAGGTTTATTTGATTTAGAATTATAAACATCAAGGGTAATATATGAAATATTTTTAACAGTGGAAGACGACATAAATAGAAGCATTTAAAACGGGTAATTTTAAACAACAATTAACAAATATTATAAAAGTTGATATAAAGGGAATTATGAAAAAAAAGTTAAAAATTCGAGCCCAAAACATGTATTCTATTGGCTCTCTGCCTTGAATATTGTCTTAATGATTTGAAAACTATTAAAACAAGTATGCAGCTGAATTTAACCTAGAATTTATAAAAAAACTAAAAAATTTCCGTTCAGTCGTCTTTTAAGTCGCATCCTTTGTGGGACATGGGTAACCCTGTATATACTTTCTACATATTGTCAAATTTTTTCAGAATTTGTGTGTTTCAGAAAAAAACAGAATCGGATATAATTTGAGAAAAAATGCAAACAAGGAAGATGGCAGCTGCGACTAGGGCTGGGAACGTTCTTGCTTTAGGAAAGCGTTTTTTAACGAGGGTGCTCAGTTAAATTTTTCCTTCCAATTTTCGTCTTTTCAACATCGTTCTCAAGTTTTTTTTTAAGGTTTGGTAACATTTTTAGTATGTTTGATCGTTAACTATATATGAATGTTTACTATGTCAAATATAATGTACAGAGTTACTCTCAAAGGATGAGACTCTAAAAATATGACAATTTCAAGGTTAATTTATTTCTTCTGCCCTAAATATTGTCTTTAAATGGCTTATTTAATGATTTGGCAAGGAAAGAAACTAGTTTACAGTAGCAGGGAATCTAATGTAAGGAAACAGACATTATATATTTCGTAGTCTTTGTGGGTAACCCTGTACATTGTATAATATAAAGCATAGAATTTAAAAGTTTTATAACTAGCACACAAATATATAATAAAGTTGATTTTTTTTTAATAATGATTGTTTTAACTGAGTTTGTAATATTCTTGATGTTGCAAAAATCTTAAATCCGTGTTTATTTGATTTATTGTGATTAAAATTTTTTTTTTGCAGCATTGTTTGATATTTAAGGCATTTTATCGACAAACAACTTTTTTTGTACTTTTCAAGAAGGAAAAGGCACGGTTTTCCATCAATACACATTACAATTATATAGATAATATTATTAATTATAGAAAAAAGTTCAAACATCAGATCTTAAACAATCACTGGTGACATGTGTTAGCAGTAGCACTACATACAACATAATAATAATAATAATTATAGTAATGATGATAGGATGTTTAGGAACCCCAAATGAAGGATTGTGGATGCCTTGTAAGCAAAGACGATATATTTGTATAAATGTATGCAAAATATTAAGAGGAAATACGGAATGAATTCAGAACAAATTAGAAAAATCACAAAGTTTGATAAAAAGGGTCATAATTGTCCTATATTATTATGATAGCGCAAGAAAATGGTTATACGAGCTTTATGAGTAAAGAGATATAATTTAGCTGCAATGCTAATTATGTAAACCATTTCCATAGGAATGAGAATTATGATTTAGATTGATTTGGTTTGGTTCGATTGTCTTTATATCAACATCATGAATTTAATCTTTTATGGGAAATAAATTGATTTTTGTAGAAAAGATTTAAAATTTCATGGTTAAAATTTTCTCTCAAAAGTCAAAGTTAAAAAAGGGATTGATTGTACTTTGACAGTATTGTTGATCACAAAGACTGTATTAGCTCGTGGGGGGGGGGGGGGGGGGTGCGGAATGCGAACTTCCAAGTTGCACCCCTTACACGGGGGCAGATGCCCTTGGTGGTCCAGGTTGAACCCCTTTGCTCTTCATATACCCGACAACTTGATCAGGTAGTTCAGCTAAAACCTCCCTAGCTAGGAGATCTTTACTCCAACCTACTCCGGGTAAACCAGGAGCTGCGGGAGATAGAAACCGCTGGAGTTCAACAAATTGTACAATATCTCTCGCGGCTTTCTACAGAAAAAAATAGACTGAAAATACAAAAAAACGTTTTCTAAAACGTTCTTTTAAACTCTTTTAATTCAAACGAACAGTAAAAATTTACTTTTTTTTTACAAAATTCAGGTATCTTTTTGCTAAGTATTTATAAAAAATGCAAAATTAGATTTAAAGTAAAATATAATGTTACTTTTATTGTCTTTCTTATTAATTCAAAAAAGGGTATTCTTGCTGAAAAATATGAAAATAAAATAACGTTGTTTACCATGTTTCCCAGCTCCAATAATGACTCATCACTGTCCAATTCATCCATACTGGAGAAATCTTCATTACCTACTCCTGCACAAAATCATACCGTGAGAACCAGAAAGCTGTGAAATAAGAAGACATTAGAGCAGTTTTAAAATCATCTGATGTTGTTACAGAGAAATTATGTTTAACTCATAAATTATCAAAACACTTATAAAGTGAAATAGGTTTATAACTTATATGCCGAGTCTCATGTGTCTCATTGGACTATTTTAAGTTATAATTTGAGTTTTAAAGTCCAACGTTTTCTGGTTCTCACGGTACATGAATTTAGGAATTAAATTGTGTACAATGTACAGTACGTGAAACAAGGCAATCAGGTTTAAGCATCCAATTTTATCTATAGTCTAAAATCGTTCCAAATTTTATGCTCTATCATGACCGATAGAGTTTAGCAACGTTTATAAACATTACAAAAGTTTAAAAAGTTTAGTACATTTTAAATTTACACACACACAATAGTAGAATATTGGCAAGAGATATAAGTTTCAAGCGTCTTTTAACGAAGGATTGATTTTGCTTCGATCATAAGGCGGCTTGTATATTCTTTGCCAACATTCTCCATAACATTTTCAATAACATTTGCCAACATTTTCAATAACATTTGCCAACATTTTCAATAACATTTGTCAACATTTTCAATAACATTTGCCACATTTTCAATAACATTTGTCAACATTTTCAATAACATTTGTCAACATTTTTTATGACATGAAACTGATAGAAAATAAAAATTTTAATTACGCAAGACTACAACATACAGTCTGAAAAATATTATTTTGATTATCTAAATTGCTACTTATACACTATTCAGTAAACTAACCTACTATAATGATGGAAAGAGGAAGGCGGGAAGCGTTAATGATTGCTCTTTTGGTTTCATCCATATCAGATATAACACCATCTTAAAATATCCAATGCTTAGTCAGTGAAGAACCAATTTAAAAAGTTTTTTATTTATTTTATAATTTAAAAATTAACATTAATTATTTCGCAAAATATAAAACAAACATCTTTTTATTTTATTAGCTGTATCCTATTAAACATAGATTTAAAAAAAAACATTTTATTATATTTCTATTTTATTTTAGTCACCTGTTATAATAAGAAGAACAAAATAATTAATATTATCATGTTGATGCGCCTGCGCAAAGTTTGTCACGTGACGGATAACTGGCGCGAAATTAGTTGGTCCGTATAGTTGTACATTATAGAGGGCGTTGAAGTAGGCGGCGAGAATTCCATCGACCCCAGAGCAGTACGGACTTGTACTCAAGTTCAGGTAAAACTCATGGGAGACCTGCAGCATAGATAAACACGTTCAAGGCTCGCTCAACATTTAAAATAAATTTTCAAAAATGGAAACATTATTGAAGGAAAATGTTTTTTTGACAAATAAATTAGCATGTGACACATGTTAACACATTCATAGACTAGATCTGAAGGCCAATTATGTTTAAAAATCACCAACCAGCCTTCCAACAAATCTGAATCTAATTGGGCTGTGCATTCAAAAATAGATTTATCTAACTAACTTCATAATCTAACTTGTATCAAGAGAAGATAAAATAAAGGTACCCAACATGAACAGTGGGGCGATGAATCTAGAGCTTTTTCGATGTTGAAATACTCCATATTAAGTGGAGACAAGAAAGATCATGATGTAATCTAATCACGAAAAGCGACAACCTACAGAGTAAACTAGTAATTGACAATACACATAAACATTATTACCAACCTTTGCGTTGATGCAGTGTGACCACGGCATGTTCTAGCTAGTTTAGAACCATTGAAGAACTGTAAGATCTAAAAGAAATAGCGAGAAAAAAACTAGATATATGTTTTTTATTTTTAGATCTTTGAAAACTGTTTTCAGCTAAAAGACCCAGCCAGGACCTCGTCTATCATTCACCGTATGGGAGGAGAAGAGTTCTTTCTTATAATAATAATAAAAACCTGAATTATTTCTCCTACGGATTGAATTGCTGTTATATACTGATTAGGGCGGCCAGATGGATCCCTAAATTGCATAAAAAGTAAAGATTTCAAAACAATTTTCTTTTCAAAATTTAAAATTACAAGAATTTGAAAATTTTGCGATCTTGCGGTTTAAAATCATTATACAGCTCAAAAATGATACCATGATTGCAAAGCTATTGAAAAACATGATCTGAAGTCAGAGTTTTTGTTGTTGTGAATCTTTGGATCAAGCATTGATCTCCATCAGATGCAGATTAATTTTTGATATCCCATGGTAGGCATACCCTTCAGGACTGACTTTAATTGAGGGATCAAGCATCTATCCTCAAATCTTAAAGTGTCCACAATGGATGTCGAGATCAAAATTTCAAGATTAACGATATTTCACACCACGGTTCTGATCTCAGAAGAATTAGAAGAAACTGATTGATTTAGTTTGTAAATTGGCTGCCTGTAATGAAGGGATCTGGGATCAGATGGATTCCCATTAGAAGCTGTGAAATCAACTGCAACAGTGAAGTTTAGCTGTAATCCTCCCTACACATATATATATGATATATTTCAATTGGAACTTTATTTATTGTTAAAAATTAAAAGAACATTTTTTTAGGGGATAAAAGAAATAAATAAAACACTTAAAGAAGAACCTAGTGCCATCTTTTAGTTAAGAGAATCTAAAAAACTTGTGGACACTTAAAATCCCCTTATCTTACCTACCTTACCTACCTTTATATAATCTAGAAATGTTGGAACAATCTCTATCCTAGCTTCCTGTACTTCTACTGTACCATCCTTCTTCCCTTTCTTGCTGAAATAGTAATACATTATTTATTTATCTCTATATATAGTTTGCTTGTCTGTCTGTTTGTTACCAATAAACGTAAAATAAACAGCTGAACCAATCGCGCCCAGATTTTGGCGTTGGGACAATTCATAGAAAGACATTTCATAGATAGGAAATTTCATAGATAGGACATTTCATAGATGGGACTTTTCATAGAAAGACATTTCATAGATAGGACTTTTCATAGATATAAAATTTCATAGATAGAACTTTTCAAGACGGACATGATTTTCTATAGACAGAGGAGATTTTTTATCCACGAAATTTTTTTCTCAGATTTTTCAAAGACAAGAAAAAATGTAAATACAGTGCTCCCCATATACGTTGCTACAACGAAGCAATTAAAAAAGCATTACATATGAAGAATACTTTATTCATTTTTAAAATAACTTTTCAACTTTTTCATCTGTAAATAAAAGTTTTTCACTAGTATTGCTTTTGTTGAATAAAATGCTGGAGTGAATTGTTAAAAATCTGCAAAACAAAATTGGAAAAACTTCAACTTCTCAGTTGTTTCTCTGACACGGTAGAACAGAAGAAATGGCCTATACATTTTATAGATAAGACTTTTCATTGACAGAAAAGATTTTTCATAGACAAGGGAAAATATGAAGATGAAAAAAATAAAATACAAATAAATATCATTTGTAAAAAGAAATCTCCTCTGTCTATGGAAATTGGAAAATCTTCTCTGACTATGAAATGTCCTATCTATAAAATATCCTATCTATGATATGTCCTATCTATGAAATATCTTTCTATGAAATGTCCTATCTATGAAATATCTTTCTATGAAATGTCCTATCTATGAAGTGTCCTATCTATGAAATGTCCTATCTATGAAATGTCCTATCTATAAAATGTGCTATCTGTGATATGTCCTATCTATGAAATGTCCTATCTATGAAATATCTTTCTATGAAATGTCCTATCTATGAAATGTCCTATCTATGAAATATCTTTCTATGAAATGTCCTATCTATGAAATATCTTTCTATGAAATGTCCTATCTATGAAATGTCCTGTCTATGAAATGTCCTATCTATGAAATATCTTTCTATGAAATGTCCTATCTATGAAATGTCCTATCTATAAAATGTCACATCTATGAAATGTCCTATATATGAAATGTCATATCTATGAAATGTCCTATCTATGAAATGTCCTATCTATGAAATGTCCCAACCCCCAAGTTTTGTGTGAGACCTCATTTAACCCCAAGGGAATGTTTATGGATGCTCAAAATTACAAAAACTTGTGTCCAACAGTTTTGGATTTTTGTAAAAGTTTGAAAATGCGCAAAAAATATTATTAAATCTGCAAACTTTTTTGTCTGTTAAATTTTTAAAAGAAAGGCTAAAATTCACAGCACAGAAGAGCCATTTTGGCCAACGTTTCTAACGTTTCTAAATTTTTGGTTTTAAGTTTTAATAGCAAAATAGTTCATTTTTTATTACTTCATATAAAACAGGATCTTTTGATTTCCCTGAAACAGCATTTGTGAGCTCCTTCTTTTTTAAGCTTTATACCTGACAACATCATAAATATTACTTGATCCGGGCCCTTCAGACAATTTTCTGCACATTCATCATTTTTATTCAACAAATGGTAAGTTTAAGAAAAATATCAAAACTTACTCAATTTTTAAATTTGAAATTTTCTTTGAAAATGAACCATATTTAAAAAGATATTAGTTTCTTCCCCAAAGGCATGTTCCCAAGCGGCAACTTCCAAAGGCTACTTTATCAAGTGGCAACTAGCCGCATAGCTTGTTCTAGCAGCAGCGCTTGGTTTAAAGCCCATCCCAACCACATTATTTGGCCCCTATTGCAGAATAACTAACTCTTGGAAAGTTTCTGCTTGGGATATTGCCACTTGTGAAATTGTCAATTAGGTAAATATCCTTGGGAAATACCTAATATACCATTTTAAAAAGACTGTAGGCGAATTCTAAGTGGCTTTTGTATTATTATAAATATATGATATGTTCCTAAGGTTAGTATGGAATGTTCCCATATACTGATGAGTTCCTGAGCTCTCCCAGTCATAGATATCAACCTTCAGGTCTCTCTCATAATCACCATTACACAGGGTTCCAACCTAAAATATGTTTTTACATGTACCCAGTCAACCTAAATAAAACTATACAGACAGTGAGTTTAATATCCTGATTAATCCGACGTTTACAGGTTTTCGGTTACAAATGCTCCGCAAAAATTAGATAATCTTCAACCCAACACATTCTTGGACTGATAATGATGATGATATTTTTGTGAAACTATTCTGTACTTTATCATTCTTCCTTATTCATAGTGAATTTCATAAGGAACGTGCTATAAAGTAATCATCGTGCTATAAAGTTAAATTAGCTGTACATTATAGCACGTGTGCTATAAAGTTTTAATTGGTTCCCGGATTTTCTCAAAAAATTTAGGATATTTCCAAAATATATTTTTTTCAATTGAAATCATCTTTTTATTTTGACTTCCGGTTTGTTTAAAAGCTTATTATAATTTGATCTTGAAATAGCCATTGAAATAATGAAAATACACAAACGTTTCATATAATTACCTGTTGTTTTGGCACGCGACATGCTATTATTATTATTATTGACATTCAACCTTCAGTCTAAGTATGATGCCATGAAGGCTATGTTATGTTGAGCTCCAGGGTTGAGCTCCAGCCACTTACCCTTGTCTACATGGGTTTTAGTGGATCATATCTGACGGTGCATTTTTGAGGATTCAGTGCATTTTGCCAGCGTATTTAAGGAGGAAATGAAGTTGCTAAACACGTTAGCATTTTTAGACAAGCAGTACGTACCTCTGCCAGGGATAGGAAAACAGATTTTATTATTTGTTATTGTAAATACAAAAAGAATCTTCCCAGGGGGCGGCTGAGAAAAATAAAAGGAATGATTGTTTTAAAAATGAAACTTTTACATGAAGGGTCTACATTCTTACTGCGGGAACTATACGAAGAGCTGCTCCATCTCCTGCTCATAATACCCATTGTATGGTGAAACCTTTCATTTAATTTATGAAAAAATGAGTAAATCAGGCTGGATTGGAGCTAGTGGCAAGCTAATATACTGTAGGCTAGTCACCATAAGGTTTAATAGACTGCGTATTTGGTTTATTAACAGAAATACAGCTTAATTGAACACTTGACAGAAATACAGCTTATTTGGGCACTTGACAGAAATACAGCTTAATTGGACACTTGACAGAAATACAGCTTAATTGGACACTTGACAGAAATACAGCTTAATTGGACACTTGACAGAAATACAGCTTAATTGGACACTTGACTGAAATACAGCTTAATTGGACACTTGACAGGAATACAGCTTAATTGGATACTTGACAGAAATACAGCTTAATTGGACATTTGACAGAAATACAGCTTTATTGGACACTTGACAGAAATTCAGCTTAATTGGACACTTGACAGAAATACAGCTTAATTGGACACTTGACAGAAATACAGCTAAATTGGACACTTGACAAAAATACAGCTTAATTGAACACTTGACAGAAAAACAGCTTAATTGAACACTTGACAGAAATACAGCTTAATTGAACACTTGACATACATACAGCTTAATTGAACACTTGACAGAAATACAACTTAATTGAACACTTGACAGAAATACAGCTTAATTGAACACTTGACAGAAATACAGCTTAATTGAACACTTGACAGAAATACAGCTTAATTGAACACTTGACAGATATACAGCTTAATTGAACACTTGACAGAAATACAGCTTAATCGGACACTTGACAGGAATACAGCTTAATTGGACACTTGACAGAAATACAGCATAATTGGACTCTTGACAGAAACACAGCTTAATTGAACACTTGACAGAAACATAGCTGCATCTTTCTGAAATGCTACTTGTGGAATTATACAGCAATGAAAAGCAATACAATGTGAGAAAATGTAAAATATTTTATAACCATAAATACCTGCAAGCACTTCTAAAATAAAGGAATTCTAAATTGAGAAGATTTGGACAACATGTTTGGAAACATATTCAAACCTTTAATTGAAAAGATTTCCAGTTTGGATTCAATGTTTTCTTGATAACTTCAGTTCTGTGAACAAGTATATAGGTGTTGTTCTCCGTGCATCTAAAACGTACAGGATATATATTAGTTTTATCATATTACAGGTTACAGGTAACAGAGGTTTTATTTGGATCAAGTTTGGGGATTTTTGCTCGATTTCCCCCAGTAAATTTAATTTAGGTAATGCATTGTAATTATTTGTGGTTTCCCTGCCCTTTAGTTTTAGGCTGAGGTTTATTTGTTGCTGTTGTGTCGACTCAAATGACCCCAGAAGGGGTTTTAGGACGGTTAAAATTGAAAAATTGTTCCTCGAAAACTTCAGAAAAATCAAAATTTTAAGTCTCACAATTACAAAGAACTAAATGGCGGCTTGAAAAGCAACATTCAAAGGATAAAATTGCTAGTACAACAGGGGCCTGAAAGTGCCCCACAATCCTTGTATATTTAGATGGGACCAGATATCTGGCATGAGAGATGGAAAGTTAAAAAAACAATAGTAGACTTTTATAAACCTTTTTATTTGCTTTATTTAAAGATGTTTTCTTCTGGTTCATAAATCTTTGTAGAACGTTCAAAAGTTTCGAAATCAATTAAAGAAAAGTAATTAAACATCAAAGAAAAAGTTAAGGAAATTTAACAATTACCCTATTACTTCCTCAATACCCTGACTACCGTCACAACCCCCACTCCTTTCACTTCCCTTACGGCCTTAACAACAGCTTTCTTCCCAGAGTTCTTCCCTTTCTTTCCTTCCTCTCTCACTCCCTTTACTTACTTCCTTCACTGTTTTCTTCCTTCACTCCATTACTCAAGTTCCCTCCCCTCCCTTCCCTTCCGTCCTACCAATTTCATTCCCCTAACTTTTCACTTTCCTCAGTCCCTTCACTTTCCTCAGTCCCTTCACTTTCCCCAGTCCCTTCACTTTCCTCAGTCCCTTCACTTTCCTCAGGCCCTTTACTTTCCCCAGTCCCTTTACTTTCCCCAGTCCCTTCATTTTCCTCAGTCCCTTTACTTTCCCCAGTCCCTTCACTTTCTCCAGTCCCTTCACTTTCCCCAGGCCCTTCACTTTCCTCAGTCCTTTCACTTTCCCCAGGCCCTTCACTTTCCTCAGACCCTTCACTTTCCTCAGTCCCTTCACTTTCCTCAGTCCCTTCACTTTCCCCAGGCCCTTCACTTTCCTCAGTCCCTTCACTTTCCACAGGCCCTTCACTTTCCCCAGTCCCTTCACTATCCTAACTCCAATCATTTTTATTTCTTCTCTCTTCCCTTTCATCCTTCTCATCCTTCACTCCCCTTATCTGTTAAAACTTTTAAAAAAACTATAATGAACATGAACAGATTTCATTTTGAATTTTTATTTTTCAAGTTTAGAAATTGAATACCTAGATATTTCTAAGAATGGATCACTCTTCCCGAGAAACCAGTTCATTGATTTTAACTTTTTGGCACCAAGTTTCAAAATTATTTCTTCTTTACATGACATCATCTCCTCTGCGACAATACTTAAAAAAAATCAATATTATTTTATAAAATTCTTTTTTGAGAAACAAAAAATGTGAACAAATTACCTAATTGTACCATTTCCTCCGTCTGTTAACAGTTTCGTATATCCTAAACAAAGGTTACTTTTAAACTATGACGTTTTATTGTTTTAATTGGCTGAATTATTTCCAAAGCGCTACAAATACATTTTTTTGTGGGTAACCCTGCATCCAAACTAATTCCTTGATAAATGAGATTGAAAGAATTCTGTTTACAAAAACTGCATTAATCACCTGAACTCTGTTTGGCTACAATCTCACCCAAAGTTGTCTCCAGGCTTCCCAAGAAATCATGTTCCTGCACAGAGCACAATCAATCCGATTGCGGATTTCAGATATTATAAAAGACGACATTTAAACACCATAAAAGGATATTTACAAACGCGGAACATAGAAAGGCTAAGTGCATCTACGGTGTGCAGTGCATTTTTCTCCAATTTACCTTAATCAAGTCCTGGGAAGGCGAACCCTTTTAAAAACAAAACAGAATTCCTCAAATGTTTTTGATAAACTAAAACCCTTGATAAATATGCAGCAACTCAAATTTTTAGAATAAAAAACTATGGTCAGTTTCGCGTTCAAAGCATATGTTTTTAACTGGGTCTCACTGTAGCGTTAGTAAAAAAGAAATCATCAAAAATCAAATAGGAGAGAAAAGATCTTCATACTTAAAATTAACATTTGTTTCCAAATTCTAATTTCCTCACTTATCATTTTCATATTAGTTTCTATTTGCCCAAAAATAAATGAAAAATGTCTTTCTTATTGTACAATCTTCAAGTTTCTATTAATAGAAAAACGAAAAATTGGCGGACAAAATTAAGATAAGGATGGAAAACAAAAAACAAAAAGGCATTCTGAAAACCAAATAGAGGAATGAAAACAAAATGGCTGACTGAAAATAAAGTAGTTGGGTGAAATAAAAAGCGGACTGTGAACAGAATTTCAGAGTTAAACTAAAGCAAAAAGGCAGATTAAAAGCAAACAAATAAAACAAATTTATCATAAAATGGGAGACTAAAACAAAATTGCTAAAAACAAAATCATGAACTATAAAACAAAATGGCGGACAAAATGGCGAAAAAACAAAATAGCGGACTAAAATAAAATGGCGCACTAAAACAAAATGTCCTACAAAACAAAATGCCGGACTTAAAAATATGACTCTGTATCTGTCCCTGGACTTGCTGAGGATCAGTTTCCAGATTAACTTGAAGATTCTCATCCTATACCAGACATTTTTTTTATCAAAAGGCAATTAAATTTCAAGATCAGGGAAAGATCAGTGAAAGCTTATAATTTTTTTATTTAATACAATCATTGTTGTGATTCCTATCAAATCAAGATTGAAATTTGTCTTACAGAATGTTCATCTGGTTGATATTTGGGCTATTTAGTATGTCAAAGGATCAGAATTTAATCAGTCTTTAAAACTTTTGCAAAAACTTAAATATCCTCCAAGGAGGTCAATCAATTTTTAACCAATTCAAGCAATTACTTGTACTTACTGTTCTAAAACAAACAAAAACTTGAAATGAAGTTACCTGCAAGTTATTTGATGGAGAATCTCGGTCGAATACAAGAAATTTTAGAAACTGACGTTCCTAAAACCAGTTTTACTTTTAAATCCAAAAACAAAGAAATTAAACACTCGCCTCACACTCGAATGTTCTAATCCCCATATCTGTGCAACTTGCTATCGTTGACAATTTTATCTAGCAGAATTCATAATTTTCAATATCGAAGGGCTTCAACATCAGGTTGCAAAGGTATAAGGATTAGAAAATTTGAGAACGAGAAAAGTTATCAGTTTCTTTTAATGAAGGTTTCTCATAACGTCTTCACAACTATTTAAAATGTTTTAAAGAATAATAAAATGTGATTAAGTTTAGAGTATAATGTACGGTCGGTATAAATTTAACGTCTAAGTAAGACCATGCCTCAAATCTGTACTCCATAACTATCTTCTTCTGCCAAATAGGGTTGAGAGTGTCCTAAAAAAATAATAAAAGTAAATTTCATCATAGATAGAATATTTCCATTTCTTGAATCATATTCTAGCTACGAATTGCGAGCTATGAATTCTAGCTTTGAATTGCGAGCTATGAATTGCGAGCTATGAATTCTAGCTTTGAATTGCGAGCTGTGAATTGCGAGCTATGAATTGCGAGCTATGAATTGCAAGCTATGAATTGCGAGCTATAAATTGCGTGCTATGAATTGCCACAAAGCTGGATTAAGGAATTGAGCCTTTGGCGCAAACTCAAATTTTCTAATCCCTATTTCTTTAAAACCTGATGTTGTAAATCTTCAATATTTTAAACTTAGATTATTTTATATAACAGAATTTATAGTTTGTAAAATCTAAGGTCTACAGCATTGGATTGCAAAGAGATACGAGGTGTGATCAATAAGATTCGCTAAAAATAAATTAGGGGTACTTGTAGCAGTCCCAGCCCTGTAATTTTTGTTGTTGAAAGTTTATTATATTTATACAGGATTATTTTTTAGATCAGTTGATGTCAATCAGATCTTTGTTGTAATGTAAGGAGTGTTCTCCCGAAAGAAATTAGCTTCATTCGTCAAAGCAAGACAACTTTCTAAATGGTCTCAAACTTGATCCAGCAGACTTCTAGAATTACCCCTAAGAAAATTTTAGCGAAATTTTGTTATCACACCTTGTTTAAGGATTAGAAAATCAGAGTTTGTGAAGAAGATTCAATTCCTGTAACTTAAAACCACAAGAGAATGTAATTTTATAGAACACAAACTTATCAAACCATGGTCTAAACATAAAAATGATTGTATATAATAATATACATGAAATGTTGGTTAGATAAAATTCCCTCCTCAAAAATAATTTATTTAAACAATATCAGCAAAGTACAGTGGTAGGCGATTATATCAATACAATGAAGACGACTTTTTTATTTAAGTTTTAATTGTTAGCAAGTTTTTTTTAAATTACAAGTTTACAAGTAATCAAAGATAAACTTTTTTTTTAAATTGCAGCTTCTCTAGACTTCTTTGTTTATGTGTATCCATGCTGAGCTTAATTTAAATCAAAATTGAAATCAAAAGTCGTCTTTTTTGTATTTATATAATCGTCTACAAGTGTATGATTGCTAAAAATTTAAATACTAAATAAATATAAAATAATAGAGTTTCAAATTGCTTCTGGATTAATTTCGATACAAAAAGGCCGCATGGAACCTTTCCTCAAACTGTTAATCAACGGTAGAACCTGACCTAACCAAGTTCAAAATAAATCAATACCTCCAGCTATAGATGCTACACTGAGCTAGGCGTGATTTGGTAAAAAAAAGGTTCAGGGACGTCTATTCTGGTCAATTCCATAGGGAATTATCGTCCTGTAAACTTTTTCAGAAAGTCACACCCGGCTCTGTGAAGTATCTAGATTCTATACTTATTTGGAAAAAGGTAGGTTCCAGTTTTAGTTTACAAAAGCTTAGCAAGTTTTAACGGAAATTGATCCAGAGAAAAACGGAAATCTCATAAAAATAGACCTGGATAGTTTCTGATCTGAATATCTCCGTCCAAGTTTGAGATTTGGGAACCTTGATTTGAATCACAACAAAGGGATCGGATTTAGAGAAGAAATCTGCATTTCGTAGATTGGAACAACTCAGGGATAGTTCTACAGTAGAGGAGGGAGTACTCGAGACTCCAGATTGGAAACCAGGTACTCCACCCCCAGGTACTCCTCCTCCACCCCCAGGTACTCCTCCATACATTGAAGACATTATATTTACACTAATATAACACTCACTACTTCACACTATAAGCACTACTATCTAAACTATCTGAAATAAATTAAGTACATTAAGACCTATAAAACTGAGAGAAGACGATACTCACATATTCTAAGATTGTATAAGATGTTGTTAAAACGCTAATAGTTTTACCTTCAGCTTGATAATTAACTTGCAAAGTGTACACTGCACAATTGCCCTATTGCAATACTTTCATGTCCATGGGCCAATTAAAACCATAACTTGAGTCTAACAGTCGTCTCTCTAGATCACAGCTTTATGGGTCTCACTGTATGATGTTTTAAAAATACAAACAATTATAAATACAATAAATGGTATTTAGGTTACAGATTATCGCTGATTAATTTGAACAAAATAAAAATGATTTAGATTTTTTAGGAAAATATAATATAAAAGTAATAAGAAAGCTTATTTGGTAAATGTCAATGGTAAAGATTAAAAAGTATATGGTAAAAGGAGTAAAGAGTAAAAAGTAAATATTAAATATTAAAGAGCAGAAAACAGAAAACGGAAAACGGAAAATGGAAAACGGAAAACAGTAAACAGTGAACAGTATACAATTTAAGGTACAACAAAATTACGAAGTTTTCATATAAATTTAGGAGTTTTACAAGATTTAACATTTAACAATTAAAGAACTCATTAAGGGCACTTAATAAAAAAATTAAAAATCAATAAAGGGAATGTTAGTGTATTAAAACAATTTTTTTAGCAAATTTTGATAACTACGTTTTCTTTGGTTTTAAATCAATTATAATAAGAGCGAAAAATATTTATTTGAAGATTGAATTCAGAAAAAATGATTTTCTTTTTCTTACATTTTGCTATTTTTAAACTAAATTATTTTCAAACTAAATTATTTTCAAACTAAATTATTTTCAAACTAAATTATTTGCAAAACTTTCTTTTATTTTCCCGAACATTTAGTATGAAGCCTATTCCAGGAAAATTTCAAAGCAAATTAGAGAAAAAATTTATTTTTGGAGAATCTGTGATAAGTTATCAGAAAAACATTAATTTGAAATATGGCTGTATATAATAATAATAAAAAAGAGATTTAGTAAAAAGTTTTATAAAAAAGTAGATAAATAAGCAGGTCAATGGATAATAAATAAATAAAATAGATCATGATAAATTAAAAAATGTACATTTGTTTATGAAAATATATAATATTTAGATGCAGGAGCAAGAATATTTTAATCCCTTTAGCTCTACGAGGTATAAATATGTAGCAGAAAGAGAGAAACATCAAAACCGTAGAACCGTAATTTCAAGTCACTCTCATTTAAATAAGCAGCATGTCCGATTCACAGCAGTACCCTTTAAACCTCTATACAAATAAAAAGATATCGTAGATTTTCTATCTGAAAACGTGTTTAATGTTACGGCATGATACCATAATTAAAAATACAATTTTTTTTGCAGAAATATAATTTATCCTTGATCAGCCAAGAGTAACCTTGTAAATCGGACATGCCCCTCTAGGAGTAGAGAGTCACTTGAAATGACGTCTACAGTTGATTCTGAAAGGAAAAGTTAAATGGGTGTATAGGTTGAAACCTCAGAACTTCAGGAGTTGATCAAAACCTATCTGATGTTCCTGTCTCGAGAAATTGATATAAAACTGTGTCAAAATTATACAGAAACTTATATATGTAAGATTTAGTACAAGATTTTAAGTTTTAAACGGATCAGCAAATACGCAACCAATCTGAAAACGACGATATCCCAGAGGAGCCTGAAAAAACTCAGGTTTGCTCATATATATTTGAATTTAATAATATTTAATTTTTAATAAATATATTTGGTAATAAAATTTAATCGTTCGTGACCAAAACTTCTACCAATGGCAGTGCAGTATTACTGTCACGTGATACAGACGGAAACACGTTGTCTGATACTGAGAGAATCAAAAAATATAAAATGGAAGTCATATTATGGTAAAATTGGTTTCAAAGTAAAATAATTTGAGTAAAAGATTTCTTTAATAAAAAAAAGTCTGTAATATCTACATGGAAGAAGACGTTAAAAACTATTCACCAACTGTTATATGTCGAGGACACGTACCCTGTATCTAATCTAAGTATTAAAAAAATACCAGAGGTCAAACTGTTTTTGATTTTTTAAAAGCATCAACTTATTTCTTCAAAGTCAAGAAAATTCAAGATGTCAAAAAATATAGCACCAGGGCAAAAAAATAGAAAAAATAGACCAAACGCCAAATAGAAGAGCAAAAATTAGATTAAGGGGGGGGAGGTTTAATATATTCTGGTTAAAGATCAAAGTTGAGAAAATTTGTTAAAAATAAATCCTTAATTTAAAATTATAAAAAATGATGAAAATTCCTTGGCTAGGGTTTCCTTGTCCCAGCCCTGGCCTCCATGTTGGTTTTTGTAAAGAAATCTACGAAAAAAAATCATAAAAAATTTTACGATAAAAAAAATTTCTTTTCATGGTAGTGGAATTTCAATTTTAACCCTTAAAAACGCTGTAAATTCATATTATTATAATGTATTCAAGTTTTGTAAATTTAAAGTAATTTTATTTTTTACCTTCTCATTTCTACGAACTGTACAATATCTCGCTTCGCATTATGTCCATGGCTGCTTAACAACCTGAATATTTTAAAAATTGTTGATTTTTACATTATTTCCATCAGAATACATTTTCCATCTCAAGATCACAGTTACATATTTCTTAACAAACAACTTCATTTCAGAAAAAACAACAATCAATAGTAAAATTTCATAGCTTTTCAAGAGAAAATATAAACCTTCTCTTTATTTGAAGTTTTAAAGTTGTTAACACTTAAAGGAACTGTCAAGGAAAAATGTAAGGTGATATAGGCTGAAACCTAAGCACTTTAGGAAATGATCGAGACCCATGAGAGTTCTATATGATGTTTATGTCTCGAGAAATTGAAATAAAACGGTGTCAAATTTATAAGAGAACCTATATGTATAAAATTTTGTATCAAAATAGTAGGTTTAAACAAACATTTTCAGCAAATCCACAACCATTCTGAAAACGACGATATCCTGGAGGAGCCTAAGAAATGTAGGTTTGCTTCTATTATTATTTGAATATAATAATTTTTCATTTATAGAAGATATAATTAATAATATCATTTATACGTCCGTATCACATGACCAGAACTCCCACCAATGGCAGCGCAGTATACTGGTTACGTGATACAGACGGAGTCACGTGATAATGATACTGCACTGCCATTGGTGGGAGTTCTTGTAACGTGATACGGACGTATTTATTATATCGTCAATTATATCTTTTATAAATGAAAAGTTATCAAATTCAAATAACAGGAGCAAACCTAAGTTTCTTAGGCTCCTCTGGGATATCGTCGTCTTACATAATTTACTTCTTTTAAAATATGGTTTAAAGGGTATCGTTGTGAATCTGGCGTGCAACTCTATTTAAATAGAGGTAACTTGTAATATATAGAATAGATTGATTATTTAATAAGAATTATCTGGAACAGATGCACCACAGCTGATTGTACGTTGTACATCAACATATTACTTGGGAGTAATATAAAAAATTCATAAACATTAAATCATTGAAATACATTCTTATTAGGCTTGACATGAGTAATTGCAGGGTTCCGTTCTAACAATTTCATGGATTTCTTAGATGTCCAAAAAATCAATAATTTTGTAAAAAATATACTCCATTAAAATGTTAAAATCTTACCCCCCGTCACAATCCAGCTCCTCCATTTCTGAGAAATCTGCTTCACCAACTCCAATAATAATTATAGACATCGGTAGAGCAGATGCTGCGATTATGGCCTGAAATGTAATAATAATGGAATCCAGTATGTTCCAGTATTTTACCTGAGTTGACAATGGCCTCCAGTATGTTTCTGTATCTTACCTCAGTTTACATTGGTCTCTAGTACAGGGTGTCCCAAAAAAACATGGGAATTCAGTGACGAATTCGATATCGTCTTTGTTATGAATTAGCGTTGTAATACCTAATTTCTAAAACCATAATATTATTATGTCTGCTAGAGTTTATTTCATGAAAACGGTAAATGGCTGTAAAGATGTGTCTATAATGTCTCCGCAAGATGAACAGTGACGACTGAAGACGGACAAGTTTACCTTGTTTGTATACTTTAGTTTTCTTGTTTTACTAAGTACAACCGTATGCAGTCAAAACAAAAACAAACAAATTGTAAACATTGTAGACGAAAATCTTACGGATTACGCTTTCTTAGTAGATATCACCATACTAAATCAAAGAATTATTTAAAAAGACGATATCAAATTCGTCACTGAATTCCCATGTTTATTGGGATACCCTGCATGATCATGTATCCTACCTGAGTTTACAATGGCCTCCAGTATCTATGTATATATATACTTTGCTTGTCTATGACTATTTGCCCGTCCGTTTGTCTGTCCGTTTGTATCCAATAAACGTCAAAAGGGCTGAACCGATTTGATCCAATTTTTGTGTGGAACCTCACACGAAAAAAATGTTTTTAAAAATGTTTGGTTTTTGTTAAATTTTGAAAATGCTCGAAAATTCTTTATTAAATCCGCAAAATTTTTTCGTTATTGTTTTATACTCTACAAAGAGAAGATGCTTAGAGAAAGAGCCACAAGTAAAAGTTGAAATGGAAGAGAGGCACAAATCCCCCTAAAAGCCTAGTGTTTCTATATTCTACCTGTTTGGTTTCCACCATATCTGTGATAATACCATCAGTGAGAATGAGAAGGATGAAATAATTAGAAGGATCATTCTTATATCATTCATTATTTATTTCAAATTCAAACTTTAAAAATGTCGTCAAAGGAACTGAACACTTGCCTCATACTTTGATTGGTAATTATTTAAATCTTTGAAAACTGACAGTGTAAACGTTTGATATTTCAAACTTTGACTATTAGCTCTAGTAGAATACACAGTATCAAATCAGGTTGCAAAGATGGATTAGAAAATAAGAGTTTGAGAGGAGTAATAATTTGTTGTTTCTGGTTTCAAATACATTTATAAATATCTATTAATATTTAATACTAAAAGGGACTGACAACGTAATTAAAGAAGACTCCAATCATCTGCTGATACACAACGATATCATTTAAACTTTTACCGAACTAATAAAGAAAAATATATTGTCGTTTTTCTAGCTTAAACTGCAGTGTTAAATTCACTTGGGCTTTTACTTTTTTTTTGTCTCGTGCATTAATCTGCAAGTAACTTTTATAGAGTAAACACAATTAAAATTTTTTAATTTTTTAGAAAGTAAAACAAGAATATTTATCTACAGAATTTAGATATTAAAACAAGAATATTTATCTACAGAATTTAGATAGTAAAACAAGAATATTTATCTACAGATAGTAAAACAAGAATATTTATCTACAGAATTTAGATAGTAAAACAAGAATATTTATCTACAGAATTTAGATAGTAAAACAAGAATATTTATCTAGAGAATTTTTGCTCAGCCTCAAGTTGTTAGGGTTACGTTGCGTTAATCGGACTTTGAAATTACGTCTGCAGTCACCTCAGAATAAATTAGAAATAGATGAATGTGTAGTGACGAATAAAGGACCAACGGACTGATATATATTGAAATCTAAAATACAACATGAGTTTTTAAAGGTACTCTGGAGGGTCTGGTGCCTCTGGAAATTGCTCAGAGTGTACATTTGAACTAGGCAGGCTGTTAAGGTTGCGTAGGGATCTTCTGGAGTATTACGAACCAAATGAATGAGGCAAGTGACAACATCCTGGGGCAGGGATGCAACGCAGTGATGGAAGTTGGTTAGGGAGGTCGTCACGCGCTTGATTGCGAACTGGGACTCGGCCTGGAGGAACCATACTTCAAGAGAATCCGTCCATAAAGTGGGCAACATGATGGATACCGTTGTGAAGCCGGCTTGGCCATCTGCAGGGTATAAAGGTCCCTCATCGCTACTTCCACTGAAAAAGAAACAGAACGTCTCGATCGTTGGAATCCAGTAGAAAACCAATTTCAGATGCGTCAACGAGAGGAATTGTTTCCGACAAAAAAAATCACGTCGGGGTCACCAAGTCGTTTATTTGGTCCTTTATTCGTCGCTATAAATAAATAAATGAATTGAAAGCTAGGTGAAAGTAAGAATGAATGAATGAATGAATATATTTTGAGATGAAAGGATTAAAGATGAATAAATTGAATTAATGAATGAATGCCTGGTAGGCTGCTGCAAATTTGGCCACGTGGTTTATGACCGGAGAGAAGTTGGTTGGTCCGTACAGTTGTACTTGGTTTAATGCAGTATAGTAGGCAGATACTATTCCTAGAATATATACATATACAGTACAGTTGTTGTACTTGGTTTAATTCAATATAATAGGAATACCTTGTAGTCCTTGGCAGAATGGGTTTGGAGATCCAATGTTTAAGAAAAACTCATGAGACACCTAATAATAATAATAATAATAATAATGAGCAAATAATGGCCCTACTAATATAATCAACCATTCTAATGTTATGTTATTATTATTGATAATTATTGAATGCAAAGATGTTAAAAGGCACATATAATTACTTTTAAATGTTCACTGACAATGCCTTGTGAAAGTTCACTGACATTCCCCGATCTGGAAGGTCACTGACAACCCCTGATAGAAGGGCACTAACAATCTCTTAATGAATGTGACTGACAATCAATTATTCTACCATTTTTCAAATCAATTAGGATACAATGAAAAGGTCGTCATTAATGTCTCTTTCTTTGTGGGTAAACTTGTACATCTCCATATGGTGGAACTCTAGCCCTCAATCCTAGAGCTGGAAATTATACTTTTCCATGAGGAGGAACTCTAGCTCTGAATCCTAGAGCTGGAAACTATACCTGTCTATTAGGAGGAACTCTAGCTCTGAATCCTAGAGCTGGAAACTATACCGGTTCATGAGGAGGAACTCTAGCTCCGAATCCTAGAGCTGGAAACTATACCTGTCCATGAGGTGGATTTCTAGCTCTGAATCATAGAGCTGGAAACTATACCTGTCTATTAGGAGGAACTCTAGTTCTGAATCCTAGAGCTGAAAACTATACCTGTTCATGAGGAGGAACTCTAGCTCTGAATCCTAGAGCTGGCAACTATACCTGTTCATGAGGAGGAACTCTAGCTCCGAATCCTAGAGCTGGAAACTATACCTATCCATGAGGTGGAACTCTAGCTCTGAATCCTAGAGCTGGAAACTATACCTGTCTATTAGGATTAACTCTAGCTCTGAATTCTAGAGCTGGAGACTATACCTGTCCCTGTCCATGAGGTGGAACTCTAGCTCCTAATTCAAGAGCTGGAAACTATACCTGTCCATGAGGAAGAACTCTAGCCCTGAATCCTAAAGCTGGAAACTATACCTGTCCATGAGGAGGAACTCTAGCTCTGAATCCAAGAGCAGGAAACTATACCTGTCCATGAGGAGGAACTCTAGCTCTGAATCCAAGAGCAGGAAACTATACCTGTTCATGAGGAGGAACTCTAACTCTGAATCCTAGAGCTGGAAACTATACCTGTCCATGAGGAGGAACTCTAGCTCCGAATCCAAGAGCAGGAAACTGTTGATCATAATCATAATCTTGAACTATCTCTCCTACAGCATGTATACTAGTCAGGTACTGGTTGGGTTTACCACTCGGATCCCTGAATATTTAAAGGATTGTTCATATATTTAAACACTGAATATACTAAGCAAAGTTAAGCAAATATTAAAAGATTTTGTTGGAAAATTATTATTTTCTGTGTAAATAAACAACGCACTTTTACTTCAGATTTACACTGGGGAACCGTGGAAATGTTCTTGACTTGATTTCAACATTCTAAGTTAAGAAGGTTGACGTTTACAAAGACTTAGTTTTCAGAAAAAGCTTGATTCCCAAGCTTTAAGATAACATAAGGTTAAACTGATAATACATTAGGTTTAAAGTTCAGAGTTTGTAAAAATTCATCAAAATAAAATAATTATTACAATTATTTAAAACCTGTAATGAAGAGATGTAGGGTTACTGGGAGCTCCATTTGAACCTAAATATATTAAATCCTTGAATTGTTTTAAATTCACAATCTTAAAGGTTTCATCAAACGTTGTTATATTGTGAAGTGTTAATCATGATTAGTTTTGTAATTTAACTAAAGCTGCAGAGTAAAAAGAAACATTTTTGACCAAATTTTGAAAAGGAAACATATTGAATAGAAAAAAATATAAAAGATTTAATAAACTCCTAAATATAAAACTTTAGACACGACTGAACAGAATTTATTTATTCTCTTTATTTCGACAATTGATAAAACATTTATTTTTTGAAGTTTTCCATACATTATATATCATACAATTCATTCAGTCTTTTCTTCTATATTCATGGTTACCTGCAGCTAGTAAATTCTCATTTATAAATCATCTTATAACTCACTAAAAACTTTATCTAAAACAGAAACCCCAATTCAACCCTGGCCCTGATAAAATGTATACCTGTAAAATCTACAGCTAGTGTAAAATTAAGCATTGTCCCTTTACTAATATATTCCAGAAAGGAAGGTTGTTCCTCTACACTACACTACACAAACAAGGTTCTCATCAATTATAACATAAAGGAAACCATTGCGAACCTTAAAAAAGTTTTAAAGGGTGACTTAAAACAGCTTAAGAAGTATCGTTAAGCGAATCTTTTTTTTTTATTTAAGAGTGTTACACTTTAGACCTAGTTTTACAGGAAGTGTCTGGTTAGAGGGATGATTTTGAGAATCGGTTTTTCATTACTTATTCAATAGCGTTAACGTACAGTAAAACTAATTAGATGTTTAGGAATACTGAACAAATATAAACCATAAGTAAGTCTGATAAGTCTCACATGAATCCTAAAAATCTCTACAATTCTGCACTATCCGCTCAACTACTATGTCTAGCCAGACACTCCCTTTAAAGTGCACTATTACAAAATCATGATGACACCTATACTATGAGAACTGGTTCCTTGTTGAACTTGATTGTTCCTGAGTCCTTGTACTTGGCTCCCTTCTTCTTCTTCTTCTTGAAGATTAAAGATGAAGATTAAAGATGAAGATTAAAGATAAAGATTAAAGATAAAGATTAAAGATGAAAATTAAAGATTATCTCCCTAAAGATAAGAGTTCTATCTGGGTCAGCCATACACAGCTGTGAGACCGGAAGGGTCAGCTCACGCCAAGACGGGTTCAATGTCTTCTTTATCACCTGAGTTAGGATTTTATAAATAAACCCGATTAATTAAACTCATTTAGTTCTACCTGAAGACAAAATTTTGTGTTGTGAAACTAGGGATCAATCCATCTTATACAGACATACTGAGGAATCTCAGTTCTCTCCGATATCCTGTGATGGTCATTCCCTGTCGGGTTCATTTTAATCGAGGAATCATGCTTGATCCTCAAGTTTAAAAGTGACTTTATTGGATACCGCGTTTAAGAGTTCAAGATTAATGATACGCTAATCAAGTTCCCATCTCAAGATAAATCCGCGAATGAAGAAGTTAGAAAATAAAATAATCGGCTAGATTCCATATTCCAACTTTACATTTAAATAATAGGTTATATATCAGTAGATGTTGACACTACAATTTAAACAAAAAATTTGTTCGAAATTAAAAATGGATAGTTGTCAAAGCTTTAGTGTTAAAATGAATGAATATCCTAGTCTGTTTAAATTAAAATCGTGTTTAGCTGATTTCTTGTTCGTAACTTCCGCTTTTCTTGAGCATTGATGGTCGGCTCTAAAACCGGGGGTTCCAGGGGTTATTCACCGTAAAGCCTACCTCTGATCGATGAACCAAGATATTTTCATTTTCTGAAGTTCGGAATATTTCTAAACAATTAAAAAATACGATTGGAATATTATTTTTGATTCTTTGTTAAAAAATTAAAACGTCTTGAACTCATGTATTAAATATAAATTGTGCATAAAGAGAAACCAAACTATACTTTGACATGAATAAAAAGATCTTTTCAGATTTTGGAAGAAAAACATTTCTACAAATTGATGTCCGGGTTTTATTAATAATAATTAATAAAGGAATTCAGTCTTTGTCACAAACTATGATTTTCTAATCTTTGTAATCCAATGCCGTAGACCTAAGATATTTCAAACGATGAATTCTGTTAAATGAAAAAGTCTAAGTTTGAAAAATCAAAGGTTTACACCATCAGGTGGAAAAAATATAGGTATTATTGAACCTCAGAATTTCTTTTGAACCCATTTTTAATTAATTAAGACTTATACATAAGAAAGATCCACTTTCAGATTAGTCATTCGATTAAAATAATATGTCACAGAGGGTTTATCATGCTTTGTTTCTTTGGATAAATTATACATTCCAAAGAATGTATAGTCATTCGATTAAAATAATATGTCACAGAGGGTTTATCATGCTTTGTTTGATGATGAACTTCTGGTTAATGTTTTATATTACAGGTACGGGGAAATAGTTTGTGGACAAAGAAATTGAGTCTTTGCCAAAAACTGTGATTTTATTATTCTTATTTCTGCAACCCAATGTCGTAGACCTTAGATATTTTAGACTATGAATTATGTTAGCTAAAATTTAGTAAGTTTGAAATATCAAAGGTTTACACCATCAAGGAGAAGATCTATATGGATTAGAAAATTTATGTTTGTGGAAAGAACTGGTATAAGGTAAAAACAAAACAAAAAAA